GCCATGGAGAATGACATTTCCCCCTTGGCTTTCCGTACTATTGTGCGATACGCCTATAGAACTCTAGGCAAGTCTTCTAGGCATTTGCTTTTCTTTTCTATTCTTTTCTTTAAACATTGCATAATGGTCTTGTTCAAGGTATCTATCTCACCTTGCCTTGTGGGTACCTCAAAGTAGAGGTGAGATGATAGATCCCAAGCTCTTTGAACCAATTTGTGACTTCGGAGCTGGTAAATTATAGCCCGTTGTCTATGAGTATTGTGAATCAGCAAATGGTGTTCTTCCAAACGAAGGATTTAACGATTGTGGACTGATTCTTGTTAAAGGCTCCGCTTTTATCTATTTCTAGAAGTAATTTGTTGCTACTATCAAGCATTGTCTGTTTCTTTGAGCCTTCTTAAGGGGTCCGACAGGTCAATGCTCCATTGCATGAATGATCATAAACTTGTCAGAGTATTGAGTTTTTCTGCGTGTTGATGCTTCATAGAGGCATACCTTTGATATTTGTCATAACTTTGGGTACAGCTAGTCACATCCTGCCGCATAGTGGGCCAATCGTATCTTGCGGTCATCACTTTATGAGCCAGCAATCTTTCACCTATATGGTTTCCACATACTATGAAGTGGATATCACTTAAGACTTGCAGGCCAACTTTTGGTGTGACACACAAATTATGGGGTCTTAAGTATGAACATCAATATAGCATTATACGGATGATTGTGTATCTTGAGGCTTTTTAGAACAACTTTCTGGCCAAGTGGCGATCCTCCGGTAGTTTTCCATCTCATATGTAGTCGATGGTTACGTCTATCCAGCTTTCTCTAGCGTCGATGAGAATGGCCACCTTCGACTCCATATCGTGGACACTCGGGACTTCCAAATATTCAAAGATGATTGTTCATTGGAGGAAGCAATCCACATTTAAAGCTATCCCGACGAGTGCATCGACGTGGCTATTTTCTCCTTTAGGGATATGTGTAATTTCATATTTTTTTAATCTTTCGAGGAATGTTTTAACCTTGCTTAGGTAGAGCCTCATTGTAGAATGGTCACCGGCATAATCCTCTATGACCTGATTAACTATGAGCCTATGAGCATCGAGTCATAATTAATCAGTAGTTATTGTACCTAGAGCTCGTTTGCGACTCTAAGTTCTGCCAAAAGTGCCTCGTACTTCGCTTCGTTGTGTCTTTAAACTTAAGTTTTAGAGCCTATTCGAGTATGGAGTCATCTGGCATCTACCAACCATTCCTACGCCAGCTCCGTTTATATTCAACGATTAATCACCAAAAAGTTTCCAAAGGAAGAGATTTTCTTGGAAAGCTTTGGGTGCTTGTTGCATTCGTAGTATCTTAGGCTGCCAGTGTGAACTTAGCCATGAAGTCCACCAATGCTTAATGTTTTAGTGATGTCCTGGGCCAGTAAACTATCTTATGTTGTCCTAGTTCAATAGCCCATTTAGTAACTCTGACCGAGGTGTCAGGGCTATGTAAGATTGCAATGGGTACTTAGTCATGTAGACCACTCTAAACGACTATAAATATGGTCGGAGTTTCCTGGGTGCCTTTACCAATGCCAAGATAAGCTTTTGAATTTTCTGATATCTTGTCTCTAGTTCTAGAATAATGTTTGGTATATAACATACCAGTTTATGCTCCCTCGTGTCTTCTCGAATCAGAGCTGCACCCATCGCACAGTCAGATACAGCCAGGTATAAGTATAAGTCTTCTCCATCGATTAGTTTGGATAGCAACTGGGGTTTAGAGAGGTATTCTTTGAGCTTCATAAAGGCTTTTTCGCATTCGTCAGTTTAAAGCAATCCCTTGCTTTTCTTTATCACCATAAAAAACTGCTTGCACTTGTCGGTGGATCGTGAAATAGACCTGTTGAGGGGTTGCCGCTCGTCCTGTTAGGCTTTATATTTCTTTCATAGCTCTGGGTGACTTTATTTCTATGATGGCCTTGATCTAATCCATTGTCCATTAAAACTCAATATATCCTGGCGTCAGAGATTTGCATCTTGACAACAAAAGAGCCATTGAGGAGAAAGTGGGCAGTTTCTAGTCTGAAGACCATGAAGGTCTTGGGGTGTTTTCCTTCTCGCATTATCTTCCTTCCCTTCCGTGCCTTTTGGAAGTGTTCATGTTTTCCCTCTACACGTTGACGCCGGAGAACAACCTCCCTCCTGGATACCAGGAAAGGGGTAAGCCTTAGGGGTTTTGTGGCCTCTCCTGGCATACCTTTGAAATGAGTTCTTGGGCCAGCCTGCTTAGATCTTGGGCCAGCCCGCCTAGCCCACCTTGCTCGCGTAGACCACCAAGGCACCCGCCTAGCCCATCCTAACTCGCCCAAGCAGCCGCCTTGCATTTTTTTTTTCCAATAAATTGTAAGAGTCTTGTTGAATACTTAAATGAAGAGTCTTGTTGAATACTTAAATGAACACACATTATATGCGTGTTCCCTATGTTTGCTTTATGTTACAATACATCATAATATATATGTCATTCTATTTTGTAGTTTATGATGAAATTATATATATTTTAAGTATAAACACACTTATTTACACGAAATATAATAGATTTACTTAAATCTAACTAGTCCGCCTAGGCGTTAGGCCACAGCCTACCACCCGACTAGTGCCTAGCATCTTTTAGAACCATGAGGATATCCTTCACTGATGTGCGTATCTTCAATACACCATTGCAAACCTAATCCATAAAAGAGGCATCTTCTTTATTCAAGTTGGTGGCTTGACAGTAAGGTGATCGTCTAGATATAACTTCCATAGCGTAGAGTGATCTCAAGCAAATTCGCGCATCACCATGAATGGTGGTTGTGCACAAACTCGCACAACCTGCAAAATAGTAAACAACTGTGACCAAGCCTGAGGCCAGGGGTGGGTATGTGTTCCAGCCAAAGGCTTTCCGATGGTTAAGTTAGCGAATAGTTTTATATTCAAGCAGTGGGCAAGAGAATTGAAGTTTTTAGATTGCATTACCATAGATGAACCCTAGATTGGTGTACTTATACCTTGGGGAGAGAGATCTTTTTAGGATAGAATCCTGGTTCTAAGCCAAGAGAATCCTAGAGGATATTTGGGTAGATATAGCACCCTCATAAGTTATGGTTACTTGTGGCGCACATCAATCCCTAAATTGTAGGAACTCCAAGACTTATAAGGATCTGATTGGGTCTGTATCAAGATCAGATCGCGTGTCTTGGGGAATAAGCATAGTCATCGGGCGAAATCGCTTGGACCCCACCTATTGCCCCAGAATAGGGTGATGGTGGCACTGCTACTTCGTCTGATCCAGCTCTGCCCAGAGCTAATGAGTCCATGACCGGACATCTGACATAACTATATTCAAATCAACCTTACTCTGGCCCTGAAAAATCATGGTCCCACATTGACCACCCTTAACCTTTGATCGTTGTTGACTATTGCTCACTAGCGTTGACCAACGATAAGGATTTAATCTCACTTATGCGAGATTAAATTCTATGACTATTAATGTACTAAGGTTTTTTTAGTAGTTGAAAATTACCAAAAAAAACATTTTTTTAACGGGTTACTGGCGAGTAAATCTGTTAAAACTTCATTATTAATGGATTCTTAAAGGGTGACCCGATAATGACCCTAATTAGTTAGCGTGTTAACTCGAAACCCGTTATTTTTATATCATTTTGTATCAAATTAACAAGTCATGCAAGAAATTACCAGTTCTAATTAGTGTTTTGGTCTTATCACCCCCGCTTTATCCTCGCCTTGCATTCAACCAAAACCAGCATCATTTAGAAACCTTCTCGGTCTCATCTCCTCCTCAATCACACCCTAAGTGAAGTCCCAATTTGTTTCAACTGAAAATAAATCTCCTATACAAAATCAGACTACCACTTATATAGGTAACAAATTGCAAGCTAATAAAATGGGGATCAACCAGGTATTTAGCTTAAGGTTCAAAACCCTACACAAACACGTTGATCGGACCCATTTCCAAAGGCTATTGTCCCGCCTACACAAATCACAACATAAATGACCTATCTTACGTGCATTATCTCCTATACAAAATCAGACTACCACTTATATAGGTAACAAATTGCAAGCTAATAAAATGGGGATCAACCAGGCATTTAGCTTAAGGTTCAAAACCCTACACAAACACGTTGATCGGACCCATTTCCAAAGGCTATTGTCCCGCCTACACAAATCACAACACAAATGACCTATCTTACGTGCATTATACTTCCTAGTTTAAACGGTCGTTTTTACAGGAGGTAGACTAGATACTTCATGTTGTATTATTGAATTGGAACGTTATGTAGAAAAATACTACATCTAATAAGTAGTAATGACATTATCATTGAACAAATTAACTTGATGAAATTGTAAAAATGAGAATGTAGTGACAGTAAGGACATTATTTTTCCATTTCATTTCGTTGTCCAAAACATGATTTTTTTTTTTTTTATTTAAAAAAAAAGACAACTGGTGGGAAGTCACAGTTATCAATTCATTTTGGGTCCGAAGAGGCTATTAGGAATTTCACCCTACCCGTGAACAGTCAAGTAGACTCATCAGCTTGAAACATCGAACCTAAAACCTTTCACATTTTTTTTGTTTACTAAGGAGTCGCAGTCCGCACCCTCTACTGGATCACTTGCTGTGATTCCCAAAACATGATTTTTATCGGAATGTTTTAGGGACTTGGATTGTCTGCCCTCCTTATTACATAGTCTTCCCACGCCCTCCTATATTATGTGGTCACGGTTAAACCACGTCAACATTTTATGTTAATTTTTTTATAGAAATAATAAGAAAAAAACCAATGGGAATATAAAATGTTAACGTAGCTTAACCGTGACCACAGAAATAGAAGGGCATGAGAAGAGTATGGAATGAGAAGGGCAGACAATCCAAATCCATGTTTTAGAACCCTTTATGTAAGTAATTTGACTTGGCAACAAGTGGCATAGCAGCAACCAAAGAACAAAAACACGTATGTGTGCTCGTCCTAACCACAAAAAGAAAGGATACAGATGTGGTTCATCCCAAGTTCGAATTAAACCTTTCTAATCCAATTCCTTTACATCCTTGGATAAACAATTTGTAATGGCACTCACTTTTATCTCCCCTTTATCCATTAAATCCTTAACAAGTTGTTCTTCCAGTTCAAAAGCTCCTCCAGTTCGGCTATCATCCCTCTCCAACAAGCACTTTTCTGTAGTCTGTCAGATAGACCCTGCAAAGAGACACCATTTTCATGGTAACTACTACTTTTCTATAATCTCTAACCAAATGATTTTCACTCTCATTTTCGCCTGCTGCACTCCCCTTGTTGTTTCTGTCTCTTGATTCGCTGTTCATTTATTCAATCAAGTGGCAAGAAACGAGAGGGGGAGTGCGAATGGAGTTATAGGGAGCGTGGAAATCATTTCCCGATTTTATTATGTCTTGTATTCCAAGCACACTAGCTTACTGCATTGGCTTGAAAAGGTAGGTTGTTCCAACAAGCAAAACAAGACCAATAATGCAGAGTCAAAGAACTGGAAAAATATTGTTTCAGCAGCATTGGCAGCAGCAGTTATAAGCTTTAGCTCTGGCAATATGCCTGCCATTGCTGACCTCAATAAATTTGAAGCTGAGACACCTGGTGAATTTGGAATTGGATCAGCAGCCCAATTTGGATCTGCAGACCTCAGGTGATCACTCCTATCTGTTTTCGAAAGCTGTTTGTTGTAACTATTTTTGGGTTTTGAATAGTGGATTGAAAAATTCTCTTCCATATTCTTGTTTTGCAGGAAAGCTGTGCATGTGAACGAAAATTTCAGGTAATTTTTAATCTCTGAATGATTTAGTCCACAATTTAAACTGGTTTTGTACCGATACGGATGTAAGGGAAATAAGTAAGATTATTTAGTATCTGCATTTTCACATCAATGTAAACTGACCTATACAGAAGAGCCAATTTCACATCTGCGGATATGAGGGAATCTGATTTCAGTGGTTCAACTTTCAATGGTGCATACATGGAGAAAGCTGTTGCATATAAGGCAAATTTCGCAGGTAAGAACATCGCGTTATACAAATGAATCGAAATCCCAACATGAACAATTGAATGACTAGAAGCATAGTTAGTTCATTTCCATTGAAGTTATAGCTGTCCTTCCCGGAATGTTAGAAGACAGAAAAAAATCCACTCTGTTTTACTCAAGGAATATGTGTCGTAACTCCCTGTATAGCAATAAAAGCAAGACGTGTAGGCGAATCTACTCGTCAAGTTCCCCATTTAGGCCATGTATATTATGCATGACCATACTAGACTTGGAAGGACTAATGAGGTTAGGTATATGTTTTAGACATCAACCTCTTACTTTATATTACTCCATTTTAATCCTCCAAGTTAGAAAAACAACATCTATGGTACTCGATTTCACATGAAATCTAGTTATTTAGCCAATCTCATCTAGTTTAGTCTAGTCCTGCATATCAATCACGGGAATCAGATTACTTTTCCTAGTACTTCAGACCCCATCTTCTGTTTCTACAACAGTTATCTTGTTTCCCAACCTTTCAGTTTTAAAATTAGCATTACTTGAAAGCCTTCTTGATTTCTTGCATATGAAATCGTTTGCCATTCGCCATTGGAACTCTATTCAATTCGTTTTTGGAGAGCCTCCATTGATTTCTGAACGTAGATTGTTCGCTGCTTTGGCAAATTGTTTCCCAGAGTAAACAGGAAGACCTGTAATTTGTTACCAAAGCATAAAGACAACAAAAAAGAACCTCGCTTAACAATGCATATTTGCTTATCGTGATCCAGGATTGGTATCGCTTCTATGATCCTTTTGCATATTGCCGTAGAACTAAACAGATTTTTCACAACTGTACATACTAGAAATCTTATAATTGTCAATTTCTTTTGACATTTCACAGGTGCGGATTTGAGCGACACGTTGATGGATCGTATGGTATTGCCTGAAAGCCGAGCATACACTCTGAAGCATTTAACTTTGCCATGTTTTTAGGCATTCTTTTGAGATTAATCTTACGAGTTAGCTGAAACAATACCTTGTTTCAATTCCATTGCTCAAGAACTATAATGATCGCAGGTCCTTAATGAAGCTAATCTCAAAGACGCCGTGCTAGTTAGATCTGTTCTCACCCGCAGTGATCTCGGGGGTGCCCTCATTGAAGGAGCTGACTTCAGTGACGCGGTCTTGGACCTGCTCCAGAAGCAGGCACTGCATATTGCTTATGTCCAATTAGAATATATTTTCTTCAAAATCAGAACCTTATCCTTCAGTTTTCTCCAGCAGTAACATTGTCTTGTTTAGCATGCATATTCCTACTAATTCTAGGGTTTGTTCATACAGGCTCTTTGCAAGTATGCAAGTGGGACGAACCCAACGACAGGGGTGAGCACAAGAGCAAGCCTAGGCTGTGGGAACAGTCGCCGAAATGCTTATGGCAGTCCCTCTTCCCCTCTGCTAAGTGCTCCGCCTCAGAAGCTGCTTAACCGGGATGGATTCTGTGATCAAGGCACTGGTCTTTGTGATGTAAAATGATAGCAAGGCATGTTAATCAGTCCTATAAATGCCATTGATCACATACCATATCCTGTATTGATGTCCATGTGAGGAAAATGAAAAAGCAGAACCAAAACTGTACGTCCAAACATCACAATTACTGTATACCACGCGGAACTGAATTGTACATCCATGTGCTAACCCGAATATCCATGTTAATCGGTCCTACAAATGCCATTGATCACATACGCGCAAACTGTATGTACCACATCACTACTGTATACTACAATTCAGAACATAGTATCTGTAGTACAAGAGTCGCAACTTCAGAATCCCAAAAAGAGGAAATCTCACCCGAACGAAACACCATAAACATATTTGAAAGTTGTTTTGAATGGTTTAAAGTCTTCTAACAACTTTCAAGAAGTACATTGATTAAATTCTCTAATGTTTTTCTACAATATAACGTGGATTTTGGGTGAAAAAGTATCATGCTTCTTACAAAAGCACTCTTAAGATAAAAACCCAAAATCAAGCCCATCCTTTATGTGAACTGTGGAAGACTATAAATGAATTCGAAATGACGAGTGTACCTTTTATGCAAAAGTTTGAATCTCGACACACTCCTACAAGCACAAACAATTGCTTTGACCTTCTGTGTACGTCTAGAACCTCGAAGGTCATT